GTTGACCTTACAACCAGTCCACAGGCCAAATCGTAAATAGCAAACATAGAAAATCAGAGATGTGCCTTTTTAGTGCGAAAAATTGCAAAAAACCGGCGTTGTACTATTTCGGATGAATGAGTAACAAACACGGAAACATCTCGATTGGAGAAACGACTGGAACGCGGACCCGAAAAGCTTGTTTTAAGCTAAATTTTGCATGTAACGCTTGTGCACATTTTCTTCGCATGTGTTCGGACCGGATCTTCTCTGGCGTCATTACGAGAGACTACTCAAAAGCGTTTTAAGTAGTTTGACTGGTGTTCATGGTGCTGTCAATTGGCGTTGACGTTCGACCTCAACAATCGCGACACAAGATATCCAGAATTGGCCCTTTATTGTTGTTTTCCTGCCTTATTACGATATTAAATTCTGATATAAAAGTTACCCATTTTGTAACTCATCATGACCTTGAGTTTACCCAATGAGGATGACCCGATTCGGGCCAATTCTGTGCTTCTTTGTTTAAATGCTAATCCTTTAAATTTTTTACAGGATATGTAAACAACTTCGACTGATTGTCCGTCTGCATAAATGAGTTGAATAACACACGCGAATAGATTCAACTTTCACGACAAAACAACTTCTGTTTTAAGAGGGTTTCAGACACAAAAAAAACAAATCAATTCGGCTCGACTGCGCGCGTTCTCGAATTTGTTTTAATGAAGAAAAAGACCGGCCTTTTTGTATCGTAATTCGGGTTGGATTGTGTTCGCCCGTGTTTTGCATCATAAATTATGTAAAATGGTTAGTCGGATTCCCTAAACAAGCGCGTTGGGCGCGTTGAAGCAAACTCCCACGGGAAATTCCTCCACACAGGCAGCATTAGCTGGTGCGGTGTCCACAAAGCGTGTCGCTGTTGAGTTTTTTCACCACTGCTCAAACCGCTGACAAGCGGTTTCTGACAGGCGGTGACGTTTGCCGGCGCGTCTTTAATTAATTTATTATTCTGACGCCGCCTCAATGCCCCCTATCTGCACTGTAAGCTGTTAAGGCAACGAATCCTGCAGCCAATGACTCATCTGCGCCAACTCCACACACGCCAATTCTCCAAGCGGGTTGGACTGAGCAAAAAACGCGAGATTGTAAGTTGTAGGGCTTGCGTTTTGTCTAAAATCAGTGCTTTGCTGTTTACCAGTGTGTTTTGGTGTTAGGCGATCACCTGTGTGCATCAGGTGATCGCCTAATGTACAAATCTCCATTTCTTCGGGTCGATATTGTCAATATTGATGGAGTAAAGTACATCTGAATACTGACCGTGTTCTTTAATTCAGCAGACGTGGCCTGATATCTCAGCACGGGTATTAAAATGATACTAAGAGTTGTTCAAAGACCTCCAACTCACACCACAAACACATGGAAGTCAGTTAGGATTGCTTACCTGCAGTCGGCTGGCCAACAATAGACGTCTGGGGCGATGCTGAAATGTAGAATAGAAAAAAAAAACGTTTTCCTTTGACGTCTTCAAAAATTATAACTCGGTGAGACTTCTGTGAGTTCCCCAACCATGCAAGAACACACATATACGAAAACACACAGTGGCAAAATGCGTGATGAATACAATTATCGCGCAGCAATGACATAAACGAGCGCAGATAAGGTTTTAGCACATTGTCGGCGAGAAATTTCACCAAACTTTGTTTTGTTTAAATCAAGTGGACTTCCGTTTATTCAAATAAATGGTGGAGAGCATTGAATGTCCATAAATGTCATTTCAGTGAATCTGCAAATGTACACCTAAAAGTAAAACCTCCAGCTGATTTAAAATGTTTTATAATTATTGAGCTTGAGCACGTGATTCTGAGTTCAATTCACATTCATGAGACGAGAAGCCATGATTCCCTTTAAAAATCACGTGCCTGTCTGATGACAAAATTCCTTGTTTGATGAATTCTTTTGACTAGATGGCGGAGTGAAAAAGAAAACAGTTCCTCGGAAGGGTAGAGTTCGCAAGCTCAAATTTTCCCACCGTGTAGATTGTCTAACTATTGTCAGAATTGTTGTCCAAGTTACGATGCCAACAGCATCTAGTATCGTTAGGCCATCTATGTTGCAAATTTACTCCTTAAATCTGGAACTGCTGTTTTGAACTCATTACTACCCTCGTTCCTATTGGTGTTCCAGGCGAGAAGAGCTACCGTCGACGTGGTAGGATTCGTACAACCGCAAATATTTTTCAATTGGTGTAATGAACAAAGGGCAAAAAAGCAGAAAAAATATAACTAAAGTTGCCACTGTGGGTGTATTGCTTGACAATTGCTGTACCATTTGAGAATTAAGAGTGAATTTAAAAAAAATTGCCTGAACATGTTGAAGACACCAGTTCATGGGAACGACTTGGAAGTGCACTTGTACACAACTACCAAACACACCAGGAGGCAATTGCTCTGTGGATATCGTGGGAGCCGAAGATTAAGTTACACTCGACAGGTGTCGTACAATTTTAACCTTATTTTAAAGAAATTCAACTTATCTGAGTCCACAAGATCACAAACCAATCAGCTGTGAGCTCGATCCATCAACTAGCCAATAGCGTTTGGCGCAGACTTAATCAGTCGACGTTTGGGTTAGTGCTTTTTTGCACAAGTACAAACTCGAAGTCGTTTTATTGTTAGCACGTGTGTGTGTGCGCGTGCGGGTGTGTATGTGTGAAGTTGTGCGAACTTCCAGCCTTATCCACCGAGCTCTCTCATATCCGCTAACTGGCCCACTTCAGACGAACCACGGGGGAGTCTTCTGTTGGATATCTCGCGCACCACGAACTTACCGACTCGACAGCGCACAAAAAATTGCCCGAACCGAGTCACTTAGTCACGCTGAGTGGGGTGAGAGTGGGAGAGAGATAACTCCTGTAACAGATGACGGGGTGATGATGACGACGATGCTGATGAAGCGCGCTGTGTGTGTGTGTTTGCGTGAGTGTTTTTCATTGTCGTCTGAAACGAGGTCAGACGAAAGACGAATTTCTGCTCCGCACTTCGTCTAAACATGCCTGTGTGTTTTTAATCGGCCGCGCCTCATCGTTGAATAACAGGCACTTCGTCTGTTTGATCACAGCGTGGCGGATGCTTGCGAGACTTCAATCGTCCACATCAATTTTCTTCTTTGGAGTAAACATGAAGCCTTCTGATGGAGAAAGCCGGCAATTCTAGTCAAACCATACGATGTTGGGGCAACGAACCACGAAATAATGAGGCTGTGTAATGTGACAATGTGCATTCCCTAACACTGCAAAAACCCATGTGGGATTACATATTTCAAACTGCCTTCAGGTGACTTAGAAACGCCGTTAGTACATTCAACTTTCGAAGAAAACTGCCAGCCAATCACGAGCGGCCTTCAGTGCTCACACACACACACACACACACACTTTCTGAATCCCCTAGTGCCAAAATCAAGATTTTTAACAGTGTCAGATTAGGTTTTAACAGGTTGTAATAATTAAAATGCAAAACGATGGGAAAGTGCTTGGTGGTAAGTTTAGTCATGCACAACTTCATGCAGGAATAAATCAGGCATTTAGAACATGGGAACGTACATCGTGTTGCTGATCCCGCGAACACTAACGCGTCAACGGCTGAAATGGGGAAAAAGATTTATTAATACCGTCAAATAAAGTCGTGTCTGCATCTATCCGTGCCACTGACTGCTGGTTGGTTCCATGAGGTCGACATGGACCTAGATCTTCAACAATCCCTGGAGTAGCATCGAAAGCATCGTGGTGAATAATCAGAGAACTACGTTCTCCTGTGCTAGCTCGGGGCCCAAGAAATAGATCACAGAAAACCAACCCCCTCAAAAGGTGGTTTTAGTGTCGACTGATCTTGTCAAAAGGATTTGATCGTATACCACCCACCTTCGACATTTCAGAATTAGTGGCACGTAGCTGTGGCTAGAGGGCATTAACCTCAAATGTACCTAAAATTCTATCACTATTAAACACGTCTGCACACTCTAAGTTTAGAATAAGGATGGTTTACGATTGGTTGAGACTAAGTAATCTAATCGAACCTTACCTTTGACACACGGCGTGATCTTAGAGCGCGTCTGCTTGTAACCGTCTAGACATCGGTTGCACGTCTGTCCGGTGACCCCTGTCTTGCAGTGGCACTGACCCGTTTTGCGGTCACAAGGTCGACTACCTATGGATCCTATTGGGTGGCATTGGCATTCTACAAAATTAGCAAATGACCTGTGCAGTATTTCGACAATTTCAAGGCAAAATGGAGAACAACAACGTGAGTAGACAACGACAATTACAACAAAACACATTTCATGCATCCACCGAGAGAGAGAATTCTGGAAGGGAAGAATGATAATTAGGGTTTTCAATGATGATTTGTAATGCGGCGTATTTTTTGATAAATAAACCTCATTGAAAGGTCGTCGTTAAAAGCACAAAGGTACTCAAAATATCGGTCGTGATCTTCAAAAGCTGCAAATTTCACCGACCAAGTTTGAAGAACTCAAGCTTGCACAAGGCTTCTTTGCATTTTTTGCAGGAATCCACTGACTTCGCGGCAAGTCGTTGAATAGACACCAGTTTTTAGTTCATTTAAATCATATTTGTTCAGCGGGGGGGGGACATGTCAAACTCATGCAAAGGCCACTTCAATGATTTTGAACTTCCAGACCTATGGAGATCTCCGGAAGAACCTGCTAATTCAACGCGGTGGATGACCTCGATGCTGTATCTCAGTGGAATGTTTCGGGTAAAATTGTGTCAATGAAACTAGAGGCATCTCTTCGGTTAGTTGTCTGTTTGGAAAACGTGTTTACTAATGTTGCACGTTCTTCCGTGGTCAGGAGTTAATCATTTACCCCCGTCACTGTTCCCAACCGAAATCAAAACTAAGCTTTCCGGCTAATTGTGGTCCCTTATCAAACGAACGCTCGCCTGAGCGTCAAAAAAGCTGTTGGCGAACTCGCAAGACACGCTAAGTTGATCGCAGTTAACTCTGCTAGACCCATTCAACTACCACGACTACGGACTTACTGAGGCACACCATGGGGTGGCTGATAGGTTTGGTCCAGTCACGGTAGAAGCCCTCCATGCACTGGTGGCACTTCTCCCCAGTCGTGTGATGCCGACAGTCCTCGCAGACACCCCCGCTGACCTTCTTCGAGAGCAGGTAGAAGTACTGGGAGAAGGTGCAGGAATTCGAGTGGAGATTGCACTCGCAGGCTTCGCGAACACAGGAAGACAACACAGAAAACGTAGTAACACACACACACACACACACACACGTAAACACACAAAGAGGCATGCGGTGTAGAGGCTGATTCTGCGTCGAGAGAACCAGGCTTGCTTATCGGTGCGAATGGATCTACAAGCGTTCTTTCTTGTGTGAAAAATACTCGTTAGTTTTTTTGTGCTAAGACACACTTCGTGAATGCATCCGAAGTTTGTGGACGGCTTGATTTGCGCTCAAGTGCCACAACAACAACAACAACAACGTCAACAGGAACATCAAACACAGAGGTGACAACGGCGACGAGCGTTAACCTTGACATGCAGCCAATGAGAAAATGGAGTGACCGGGACGTCTGGTGAACCCGGCAATGCACTCCTGGCAGTTGACCCCCTCGGTGTTCTGACCGCAGCCGAGGCAAACCCCTCCTGATTGGCCGCCGGACTTGCGGTAGATGTTTATGTCGAACATGCACGAGGTCGTGTGGTTGTTGCATTGACAGGCTAAAGCGGTTACAGGCATGTCGGTAGCCTTCAGAAATCGATTTCGACAGATACAACACGTGGGGATGCCTCATTTAAAATTTGGGTAGGCTTAAAGTTTAGTCTTTTTATTAAAAATGTGTCCTAGATTATATAAATCACTTCCTCTCTGAAACGCACGTGTGCATCTTCCTCAAAGTTGAACAACGCGCCAAAGTGTAATGGCCAATCAGAACTGAAGGAAAACTGGCGCTGAATTTGTAAAACCACAGACCCAGAGATTCACTTGAACCTGGTGTTTTTATCTTCAGTTAGCATGCTTGTTCCAAAGAGAGAGAGAGAAAAACCATTTCTGATCGCAAGTGTGTCTGATTTTTGCGGTAAATCGGTGCAAGAGACACCGCAAACACGTGTTTAGTTCGGGCGCAACAAGGTGTTAGTCCACTGGCATTTCTCTGTACCGCCAATTGAAGTGTACATACACTAATAGGGATTAATCACTATCTCTTTTGTGTGATTATTTCTAGTCTTCGTTCTCATTGGAATAGTTGTGGCTTCCGTCCACTACGAGCTACATCTCCATTGTCCATTTGAGTTCCGCAAGGGCTCGGCGTTGATGGGAATCCCAACAAAAAATGTTGAATAGCGATCAGAAAGGAGGCGAATGCAACGCCGTCAGATTTGGAGAACGCGCGGCATAACTTCGCCAACCGAGAATTTGGAATGTGAACCGCGACGAGTTATTCCAGTTAAACTCGCGGCGAAATGAACCACTTTTTTTCACTGGATGGTGCGTAGCTGCAATTTCCCACACTCTAGCACAAAGACATATTTTGCTTGTTCAACAAATTTATGTGGCTAACTCACATGACTTCATTCTGGGCTCCCAAGAGGTGATTTTGTGTTTTAAAACATTTGTTTTTATTTCAAAAAAATCTGCCCCTTTTACACCAGTCCACCGAATTTACTGAAGATGGTGCAGTGTTTAGGGCAAGTGGTTAGTCAGGGTATTTGAGTTGCTCACTAAAACTTTGAAATTTTGGGTCAACGCTTGCCACAGGGGCAAAATGATGACTTTTAATGTAATGCTGCTTTGCAAACATGCCTGTCTCACTCATCGGAAGTACGACGTGCTCTAAATAAGTTTTCATTTGCGATAGCCAATCAAAGTTGAGATCTCTTAACTCCTGGCCAATGAGTGGCGTCTGTAAGTCACATGAGTACAACTCATGAAAGAGTGCTTATCGCAGCAATGTGATCGGTAAATTTATTGACATCAAACTAATTATTCCTCCACCTAATCTGATTGGTTGGTCCTGTGGTATAGACGTGACCGCTTGAAAGACGGCAATTAACCTCAAAATTCAAGCAAGCGATAAATCGCCAACAACGTAACTTTGCCGTCACCCGGCCCACGGCTTTATTATGTCCTGCAACTACACATTCCCGCGTGTGTGTATGCCGTGCCAGACGCTAATTGCTGTGTCGCGCGCTTCACGGGTTGGCCGGGTCAGCCCCAACACCTCGTAAAACCCAGCGGTTACCGATCTGTTGCTACTGCTACTGATGATGATGCAGGGTGTCTGCTGGCCTGACCCCGCGCGCGAGCCGGGGTGTCGAACACATGTCGTGTGTGTGAAACTTAGTGGGTGGCACACAGACGTGCCGTTGAATGACGAGGTGTGAATACAGACGCTTCAAGTTGAGACGGCTGTCACAGTGGTACACAGTTGGCATCTCATGGCTGCTGTTCACACCTCACAGAACGTTTGTTGGACAGCCTTCAATAAACCCACAGTGCCAGACGGTGAAATTAAGACTACGGATTTCTGGGGAAAGTAACACTGTGATGTGCTGTGTCCACTCCATGTCCGTGTTGGTTGGAGTTCTTGCAAACGAAATTCCAGATGTTCAAATGATCCAAGGGAAACATTTTTGGCATATCGGCCCTCCCGGTTTCAGGCTAGAACACCTCGACTCTGCCAAATCAGCCAGTTAAAAAGATATTTCAAAGTCAAACTGGGCAGACTATTGTTTCTGTTTAATGAAACCAAATGCAGACATAAGGTAGTACCAACGTTTATTAAAATTCGCCATCGATTTCGACACCACGCCATCGAATTTATAAACATCACTTAAAATGGCGGTTGCCTTGGAAACGGAATGAAGATCACTTGCCGTCTACTTTAAATAAAGTGCAATTCCCTACTTCACACCTTCGGTCAGTGAGATTGACGTTTTCAATTCGAATTCTGGTGCCTCCTCAATTAATCAACAATTTAACTCCCTTCACCACATATCACTTTTCTTAGCTATTAATCAATTAAACATGATATTCGACCACTCCACCTGTCGAATACAACCCTGATTTAGTGAGGCGGCTTAAAACTATTGAGAGGAAGGAAATTAGTTACTCTTTTATTTAAAATTGACCCAACCAATCAGAAATGTAACCAACCAAGGCCACCTCAGCTGTCCCTTTAGCACGAAAAAGCACCTAACAGTGCCAAATTGCCTAAGAAGCAAGGCGTGAAATATGCTGCGCATGTGGACCTTTACTGGCTGTTTGCGAGGTGGTTTGTGGAATGGGAGCAAGTGCAGTTGGGCACAAAAAACCAACGGATTGAGACACACGCGTGCAACCTCCCAGTGGTGCCTTTTTATCGCTCGACATTGCGATAAAAAGTATTAACGTGTATTTAAACAATAACCACTGAGAGGTGGAGACACGCGAACACACAGCGAGGGGAAGAGGACAGTTTTGAGGGGATCACACAAAAACTGCCCCACGCAGCACACCACATCAACGATAGGAATGCGTCCGCCTGGTGTCGGTTATTTTTGTGTCCTGTCCACACACACACACACACGCAAGAAAAAATTCCTTAATCTTCTTCTTTTGTGAGATCAATGCTGCTTGATGCCGGAACTGGATCATATGTCCGAGTGGCTATTCCATGCCTACTGGGTGCCTACTGTAGCTGAACAAACCGCATCAACAGTGCGAGTTGAGTCAGCAGAAGGCCGGCTTACAATGTTTAATCATAAACCACGGAGCACCGGAAATGACATTTTCCACTTGGTGTTCAAGTTCACACACAAAAAAACAGACAATTGTGCGATTAAAATTTAAAAACCCTGTAGGTTTATAGCTGAAGTCACTCGTTCATAACCTGTGCAATTCATAAATGACAAGGTTTCGAGAATTAAAAGTAATTGGGAGCTTGCTTAAGTAGAATTTTTGGTTTCATCGTCTTGCCAGCCAGTTATGGACCAAACTGTGTGTCTACTTGTACTACTGAAATATCTGACCTTTTAAGTGAAATTGCCATTTTGCCGGAATTAAATATGACCTTGATCGGATCTGGTAGAGGTCAAACCCACCCACAACGTTAATGGCTGTTTTGATAAACCGGTGGATTTAAGGTGAAAACAGCCTTGTTGCAGGCACTCCATTAACTTACATATTTCCAGTTAAAAGCGCAATTTTTTGGGAAGACAAATTCCTGAATTTGTCTACAAATTACCATGGCAACGCCTTAAAAGTGTCCACGTACGTTGACCGTAGGTTGATCAAATTCGAAAGTGTTGCCTGCCTGTGATTGGCTAAATTTCCAAAGATTTTGCATGGAAATTATATTTTCACGTTTTATTTTCCTAAAACTAAACTAAGGGCACCGCGTCATCTTGTTTAAGTGTTTTACCTCAAAATTTGTCATGTTTAAATATTGTGGGCTTTAAAGTCCTCACGCAATTGGACAGCCCCAAGCGAGGTGATTTGGCATCGGATTGAATTTCAACGTAATAAGTTAGTGAGGTTAAATTTGGGAAGGAAATTTGGTGCTTTTTATTGTCGCGAATTTTTCCCTAAATTCAGTAAATTTTTATTCCGGAGTCGAGTCAGCGGATTGCGTGAAGTGGTGGTGTAGGCGACACATGAATAGAGTTATTCATTTTATCGCGACCTCCACAGCCTGTGACAGTTACAAGTGCCTCGCAGAAGTCTCGGAGATAAAAATTGTCGCATTTTTTCTTGATACGACAGCACAATACCGCTTGCAACGAAAACATCGCGTGGTGGCTAGTCGAATGCCGGTCTATGAAGGTCTTGTGGATTAGGTTGAATAGACAACACCATTGGTGTGATAATCAGGCAAGGGAATCCCTTCAAACGTCGCCAGTTTTAAGCAACAGAACTGGACAAACGGCGTCAGAAATGCTTAATTTAAAAATGGAGCCAATTCTGTCCAATCCCAGCGCTCATGCAATATATTTAAACAAACCAGCAAATGGCGATTTCTTTGGCACATGGGGATTTCGTCTACCTTCGACAGGGGAAAAACGTGTCGCAAACCGGTGGAAGAAATCGCTGATGTTTTGTCGATGACTCAACAACCCACGGAGAGGAATTCCGAGGTTTTGCATGGGGAAATGTTGGATTTGAAGATACGTCGTGCGCTGCGTAATCGTGTCACCCCAAGTGCCACGAACTAGCGTCATGACGATGGCCAATAAAGGCTTTAGAAAACATGGCTTCAGGAACTACCTCGCGTTAATAAGCATTATCTCAACAGATCACGGAGATTCTCCTACACAATGTCCCCCTTTGCCCAGCATGCCAATTAGACGAATGGAATCTTAAATCACACCTCATTACCACGAACGATCATCCGGGATCATCACTACATGTGATTGCATTCACCTAGGTCTCGATGTTAGCACAATGAGAACTCAAGCTGTTTCACACTTCACACACACACAGACGACGGCAGTTTGGTGAAGCTCGCGAATAACCGGCCATCTCCCTGTCCCTCCGCTACCTCAATTCTTGTTGGCTACTTAGTCTTATGCCGTGATGCAAGCGATACTACCTAATTGACTTTAGGATCTGCCTGTTTTTAACTCAGACCTTCAAAGAGATGGCAATAGCATTGAGTTTGAGACGTAACGATCAAGCCACTGTGTCGAGGGACTACCACAATACCGAGTTTCGTAAGCTAGTTTAAGACATTTGAAATGTCGCACGAGTAAGGCACAGGACTTGTCGCAAACTCTTTTCTTGCACTTTCGCGAGTAAACAAGTCACACATATGTCAAAAATGGTTGCATTTTGAATACCAAAACTACGCGCGATTTGTCCTTAAAGTAAGCTGAAGGTGGCGTCGATCAGTTGTCAAAAGGCAACACTGACAGGAGTCCGTCAAGACAAACATATCGCTATCTTCCTGCGATATACTGAAGATTTATTTTCCCCTCGCCAAAAATACCACTTTACGCTTCTCAAGGTAATTAGACCAGAGTGGGGTGCGGTGGCTGTAGGCTCAGATATTTAAGCCCAAATTCAACTGCGTAAATTTCTCCTTTTGCTGGGAAACAATTAAAAGGTTTCGATTCCATCAAGACAATGTCAGAAGCGGTCAGAGAGAGAGAAAACGACAGAGGAATGATAGCATCTCCCGAAATCCAGACCACAACCATCACCACCACCACCACCCCACTGCCCCTGCGCTGCTAGGATCTCTTTAATTTGCTTTTCAAATCGTTTGGCAAGACCCCAGGTACATAATTCGGCGCTCCTATCACCACTCCCAATCTCCAGCCAATCCGGTTACGAGGTGGAGGGATTGTTCGCTCAAATACACACACACACACACTACTCGACTAATCGGACTTCGAGCGGGGAGATTCGTAGTAAGGGGTACCACTTATCGCGTAACAAATTTATGCTCGGTTGATAGTGAGGGACTAATGATTGCATTTTTAAATTAGTACGATTTATTTTACAGATGTTGACGCACATTCTTTAACTTGTCATGGCATTGATATGACTAGAATCCGTAGTGATTGCCAACTAACCAATCAACTAAATCCTTTTGGCAGATCCACCCTTGCCAAAATCAATTCCTAAAATGCCTTTTTCAATGTCCTTCATACAGATGTGACTACTGTAGTTTAATGAATTCTGCTACTAGTTAACGACAGTCCACTGACTTCGAGTTGGTGGTTATTTTAAAAATTTGATGAAAAAGTTACCGCGACCACTGCGATTTACTCTGAGCATGATGAATCAAACATGGGCCTGTACTTTCACAAAAAGTCACCAGACCAGACGGAGAAAGAAACTCTGGGCGGCGAAAAAAACCTTTGCTCTTTCAGAGTCCTCGAGAGACGAAAACAGATAGCAACTCTGCCGCATTCGGTGGTGTCGTTTAAGTCGGTTAAATGTGTTGCGTGAAAAGTCATAAACGAGGGACTCGCAAACTCGCATGAGTTTACAAATTGCGGTTTCTTGTGCTGTGGCTGTGCATGTATGGCGTTTTTTTAATTTTTGGAAGATTCAAGAACCACTTCGTCTTTAGAAGACGTGAGTGCACGTAAAAAGGTTAGTTTTACTAGGCTTAATTTAAAAAAAAACATTTTCAGAAAGTTAGAATTGTTTACAAGTAAAAAGAACCATGGGTTAATAGAGCGATGATGTAAATAATTGTTCACGTCAACCGCCAAATACGTTCAAAACGGGCGCGCCATGAAAAATCGATTAAGTCTCTAAAGTACTTATTGATTTCTCCCCGGTTTATTAAAATAACTAATTTAAAGACGTTGTGGCTGCGTATAAGTGATTTAATTAAAAATCCAAATTTTCGGTAATGGCAACACTCTAAATAAAAATTACTTGCACATTACTTTGCGTAGAGAAAAATATAGAACGATGCTGATATTGCTTTTTATACTTCTGTAACTGATACGTAGTCAGACTACTTTTTTTACCTGTTTTGGAGCAAGACACGCATTCCTGGGCAAAAGCACCTTTTGTAATTCAAAACTAGCAGCATCGAATATACAAGTAGACGACAAACCCACTGAGGCTTCGAATTAATTGCATGCAATCCTATAAGTCCATGAATGTATGTAGGTAATGAGGAACATGGATTGTAAACAATAGGCAATCTGTTGGAATAGGCGAGACGCCAGCCCAATGTGCTTGTTTAAATCATCCAAGAGGTTGGTTTACATGACCTTGAAAAAGGCCACTGATGTCAGAGCATGAGAGAAAGCGGAGAGATCCCGCCCTTGCACATTATAAATATTCAGCTTTCAAAAATACATCGACCTACATTATAAATCACCTGCCTAACTGTCCAATCAGAATAAAGTGTCAAAAATTTTATAAAATTTGGCAAAACAGAGGGAAAATTTGAGGTCTAAGGGCAAAATGACCTTGACAAGTCTTTCCTAAATTTTGGTATTTGATATTCAGTCATTTACCCGTTTGCTTGTTTCCTTAGCACAAAATAAGATCACTATGGTGTCAGAAGGATGCTTAGAATCCGGGAAAATAGCTCAAATGTGCGATTCGGCGAATCTTATCAAGCTTTCGCAATCTTGTCTATTCAGTAGAGAAAAACAACAATTTTTTTGCGTAAATAACCACATTTGGAGTGATAGAAAACTGCTCTTTTTGCGACTTTAGGGACAAATTATGGGGATTTGACCTTCGTGCGGTCAAATTCCCTCGGGAATCCAGTCGCTGTGGGCAGACGCTTTCGCGCGAGATGGCGTGCAGTGCGTTTCAACAAATTTGGCACCCTTTGAAGCTGTGAAAACTGCCTAATTTAAGCACTAACCGTGCGTCCATTTCAAATGAATTATAATACTGCATTCAGTCGTGGCTTGAAAAATAAAATGGCGCTTTAACCTAGCTTGAGGCAATTAAAATAACGCCAGTCATCCGCATTTCCTTTGAATCTGGTTGAAATTATCAGCCAATATTGATTTATTTAGCGGGTTAAATATATTTACCAGTGGATCATGTAGTTATTAAAAGAAGAGCTTAATCCAGCCGCAATTCATTTCAACTTCGAATTACAAAAAATCCATGGACTTTATGCTTCTTCAGCCAAAAGAATATGTTAAATTACTTGAACAAGAATTGTGTCTTAAGCTATTTCGTTGAAATTCAAATGAAATTGACCACAAGCAATGCTGAATTCGCGTAATTTTCAAGAAAGACAACGGCATTTCGCAGTTGGGACCTATGAAATTTAAGCATATAGAAAAGAGCCTACCTTTGCATTCGTTGGCGTCTTCGTTGGTAGCTCTGGCCCAAGGACGATCCAGGTAGCCTGGCGCACATCGTTCGCAGTCGGCGCCGACGGTATTGTGTTGGCAGTCGCAGCGCAGTGGACCCCAGGTAACAATTTCCTCACCTGCGGCATTCTTCTCCACAATCCTGTCTCGCACGCAGCGATTGGCATGACCGTTGCACTTGCACCTTCCACCAACAGCGATGTCCGAAAAGGCAAAGTAGACGGCATCGTCTTCATCGTGGTGAATCTCGTGGGTGTTCACCTCGTTGCGTGCGTTCGTGGCGGTGGAGGCGGTGGCGTTCAGTGTAGTCCCGTCCGCTTGCATCTCCTCCAACTCTGCACCCTGATGGAAGAGCCTGCCTCCTCCAAGCCGGAACACAGGTGCCTTCTGGGGAACTCTTCTTTGACCGCTGCTCCTGTCGCGGCGATGAAGCACGACTGTGTTGTCCCCACCACTCCTCTCCACTGTTCTCGACTTTCGACGAGCTGGAAAACGACTCAGACTTATCTGGAGGTCGGTCATTGTCATCCAGTCTATGAGAGCAGGGCTCCAAGACTGTGAGGTGGGTCTGCCGATGGTTGTGCTGAATGCAATCACATTTGACACCTGACCTTGGGCGTTGTACTTGACAGGAGGCTTTATCGCAACACAAAGCACCTCCTGGATGTTGGCTGAGGATATTTGGGCGTTGTGTTCGCTGCTGGTGGGTAAACCGAACGCGCGATAGCAGTCGGTTGAGAAGTATTGCCACGGTTTCCACGTACGCCCGAAATCCGAGGACTTGTAAAGGGCAATGGAGTCTGGAAGGGGACCACAGGGTTGCAGGGAGATGTAGAAAATTTCGAAGCGTTTTCCGAGGGAAAGCGTCAGATTTACCGTGGAGCCAGGCGCCACTTTACCGGACACCCAACAGGTCTGGTTTGAAGTGATGTGTCTGTCGGTGAGGCGTTCCGCACCTCGGCTCGTGGCGGCCTTCCGTGAATCACACGTCTCGCAGTACGTCTGACGCTTCTGACCGTTCTGACTGGTCCAACTCTTGCACACGCGTTCGGCGCGTCCACCTTGGCCACAGGTCGATGTGGCCACGACAGGAATGCCTTCGGCAATATTGGTGAATGGTGGAGTGCAGAGGTAGGCTTTGTTGTCGGCGTAGCACACCGAGTTGGGTGACTCGTAGATGACCTTGAAATTTGGATGGTGTTCAGAGGCTGATGAGGGTGGGACGGTTGTCTGAGCGCCCAACAAGGCACTGCTCAAAGCTAAAAGCACAATCAAGGTAAGGAGCATGCTCTCTATTAGGTTAAGTCCATGCGGCAATCGATGCTGGTCTGGTGGGATTGGTGTGTGTGCACATTAAGTTATATTACGTTTGAGTGCGTGAGTGTGAGTGCGTTGGTGCGCTATCCGGTTGTGCGGTCCACCTCGTGTTAAATGTCCGCACACGCGTTCGCCCAGATCGTCTAGCCACCTTACCAACCAATCAGGAAGCAGGGATCGTGTGCGAGGGCGCGTGCGTGCGTGTGTTTGTGTGTGCGCGCGCGTGCGGTGTATCCGTGATTCCTCAGGTGGTGGGGATCAGTGAACAGGAAAAAAAATGGGCAATTTTTCAAATCAGCGCATTCTACTTAATCCCTTTCGCTGACACCATAGTTACCCTCGAATGCCTCTCAATTTACCCCTTAGTTTACACTAAATTAAGTTCCTTTGTTACAAATTATGTTTAATATTAGTAGATTGACTTTTTTGCCATGTAAACTACGCCCAAAGCTTGAGTTAAAGAAAACACCACAAACCGTCAAGCCTGATTCATACACTGTCATACAACCTCCTCGAAAAAACCGACTACTTGAAGCTTCATAGGACGCAAGGTAACAAACATTGCCACTTCTGTTTACACACGCTACTTACTGCTACAAAGCTTCTTTTGTACTAAATTTAAGCACCTCTAGTGTGGTCACGATAAATGTCTACAAGTCATTTTGTCTAGGCTAAATTGTGAGCGAATTTCAAATTAACCAATCAGGAGCTAACATGACCTCAAACACTTCATGAGTCCTTAAATCAGTGAGTAACATAGGCAGACCTGGTCATCTTCACCGGAATCATTAGCACTGGGGTATTGAATCCCAGAGGAACCATAACAGCAGGCTGTTACTGTGCACAGCTGTGCCTCAAAAACACACAAGTCAAAGGTGTTAGGTGGGAAATCATTCCTCATCTCCAAATTTTCTACCTGCCACCTAGTCAGATTTACAGAATTTTCACCAAAAAACTCAAGTATTTCCTAGTGGATATTTGTAATTCCTCTCAGTTCCTAGAGCACCAAGGAAAATCGATATTATTCAACCAATCGGCGCTGCGGAATCGTAATCAAAAGTTGAGGCTCGATGAGATGTCACTGACTGACTCCAGGTCAGGCGTAACCAATGAGAAATGGACGGTAATAACATGAGGGCCTTACTAGAAAGCAGCCAATCAATAAGATTAAAACATGCACTATTTAATCATGCTTTTTCGCCTATGGTAGTGTATTCGAGTCAAGCACGGAGTCTTGTCTTGAAATATTTTCAAAAATAAGCCAAATTTATCAAAGATCGATATCTATTTTAACGACTACATTATGTTTAGTTAGAGTTTATTTTGTCATCAGGCAGATTTCCGCACTTACTTCAATGGCAGCTTAAGATCTGCGTCTCATCACCACGATTTAAACTCAGCCCATCATTTGTCAAAAAAAAAAGGATTTAAATTAGAGGTTCACTGTCACATCCCTACGTCAAACTTTCGCAGAGCACAGTCTGTAGGCATCAAATCAGACTGCAGTCACACAAAGACGAAATTTTTGGCAAAGTGGCATTTCAAAATGCCGATGACCTAACCACAATCTCGATTTTAAACGGTTTCCGAAAAAAAAAGATCTGACACAGATGAAATTTAAGTAATTACATCTTTAATGAAGCATTTCCTTGTTCAAACTGCTCTGGCACAACCTGTTAGCCAGAGGTGCCTAAAACACAAGTAAATTTACTTTAAAGCGGCTGCAACATCTCCAGCGCTTTTTAAACATCCCTGATGCATTTTAGCACACGGAGTTGAAAAAAAAGACCTTGTTCGCAGTGTTTTTAAGGCTTACAAGCCAAAGATAGGAGATTTTCGAACGCGGTTGCATCCACTTGCATTATCCACAGCTTCACTTAGACCTCCTTTTAAATTCAAGTAAGGATTCAGCCTGCCACCCAAACGAGCCAATAAGACCGTCGGAAATTTAGTGGTATCAACACAGTCCAACGCCACCTATCCAACATCGCATTGAACAATTCAAAATGTCGACGCCGTGACATTTCAAAAGGTGCGCACTTTTGTGGAATAAAAAAATCAAGCTCTCTACTGAAGCTGGAGAACGAACTAATCCCTTCATTTGCAAGCCTCATGACGTTGAATTGCCCGATTACGTGTAGCCATCGGAATCCATCACAGTGACTGTTCTACTACAATGGCGCACACGAACTGATGAAATGGGAAGTGTTTCAGTCAAGTTATGTGATCGCCTCTGAAACATTCTGTCCCGCAGATCACATGCGTGATTCACGCCAATTCAAGTGTCACTGGAGACTTGTGTACGGCAGAGTAGACTTGGACTCCGACAACAGCATTCGGGTGTTGTCTGGATGGCAATACTTCCACCACAACAACGTCAACACCGACATCCCACACACACACACACACACAAGCACAGAGAGATATGTCAAGCGGTTGCACCACCTCTGATACAACCAATCAGTCACACCTCACTTCGACCAATCAACGCTGACCAAGATTGGGCGATCGAGGTAGTTAGTCGAGGCCAGTCGGTTCACCTGCGCTAATGGGCCTCCCGCTGTGCCGCCTAGACAACACGACGTGCCTTGAGGGTGGTCATCGTGACAGCACGTCATGCATTCAACCTCTGTTCATCCACCTCCACCTTCCTCGCCATCTCCACCAATTACCCCTTTACTCTCCGCATCTTGCCATTGGCTACCTCCTTGAGCCACGCACAACCACACTTCACCTCAATCACGAACCAAGTTCTGAATTGCATCGGTGATTAAAATCAGCCAACAATTTCCTCACAGCAAGAGTCGCCCATGATTGTGTGTGTGTGATTTGTTGATCGGGAGTGCGGTTTTTATGAGTCGGCAACATGAATCATGCCAGATAGTTTATCAAAGAACCGTGGTGTTAGGAGTACAAGGTATATCAGATAACACGCAATTATGCTATTAAAATTTTAGTTGTTTTGCTAGCTCCCGTATCTAAACCAGTGTTTTTACTCAGTATCTAGTCAAGTGTCGATCCTGAACCAATCCCAAGAGAGGTAGAGCAGCCAATGAGGAAGTTCGAAATAACTCTTTAATTCAACCCCGTGTGCCACCAAAGCCACATCTTACGGTAAACAAAAACTCGCTAGCCCGAGGCTGCTGCGCACTCAGACTTGGAAAAATAAAAAAAGGGCTTCGAACATGCGCAATTCGTAATCCAGCTGGATTGTTTTCGCCTGGGGTTCACGACGGAAGACCGGGTTGGAGAATGACTGTTTTGTAGATTTCAAGCGAGATTTAGGAGGTATTATCCAAGTGAAGGACATACAGTGAATGCGCGCTGTGCAAAAACGCAATTATCAACTGTCACGCTACTTATAGAGGAGTAAAGTAGGAAATATGCCCCGCTTCCTGAACCTCCCAGATGTCAGCTGATGTAGAGGGCCTCAGTGCGGTTTTGGGAAACCACACCAGGGCCGACGATGTACACTGACAAGGCGACTTATTTATTGGTGCAGCAGCAGTGTGTGTTTGTGCAGGATGACAAGTTCGCTTATGCAGGTGTGCTAAGTATCGATTTCTGAGCGCATGCAGCTGCGTGAAGTGAATTCACGAAAAAATCGATTTACGATGGTTCATTACATCACCTGTCGGTGGTTAAAAAGCACACGGGAAAGGGTGCGCACCCGCGTCATTAATTTTAACGATTTACTGATAAGTTCGCATAAACTCGAGGTGTATTTTAAACTGGAACATGGCATCTGGGTTTGAATTCGAAGCCAGCACTTAAAGGATCCACTTTATGACCCTCTTCACGTCTACCAATGACGCTTTACCATAGTTCCAGTTTCGATGGAAGTGTGGTAATGGAATGAGCATTGCGTGTGGATGCATGGTTTCAGGAGGCATAAAGTTTTCGAAGCCTCATACGGGCCAGATCAAAGTGTTCGAAGCTATTGACAAGGCCATTTTGCACTCTAAGCATCCATTGTCGTCCCTGGAACACATAGGAGTGATGAAACAAAGCCACAACAAGGGTGACAGTCAGTAATTCGTCACAACGACCTAGTCCGTTATGCATGGAATTGTGCGTGCGTCAGTGCTAATACACACGCGTCATCTGTGGCCAGCAAACAGAAGAGTGAAGGTGCTGCCAATAAAAAGGGTTCACACTGAAACAATCAAAGAGAAGCAAATTCATTGGTTAATTGATTTCTTACCGGCACCTCCCATGTTTAACCGCAGAGCGAGCGGCAAGAAGGGTGATTGGTTGATGATAAGTTGTAAACATGGCCAGGTATATTCAGATAAAACCACGCCTTTTCGAGTCTTTAGAGTGTGAAAACATGAAAGAACCCCACATTTTTTTGCAAATGTAATATTTGTGACATTAAAAAACTACTTCACACTTAAAATATGCCCCTTTTAATCGAGTTAAGAAGAGTATGCTGTGAATCGTGTTTATACACACTCCTTAATCCGGTAGCTCCATCCTCCGACACGGGGTTCCCCTTTTCGCAGCATGTCACTAGCCGCGCAAATCCTCAACTCCCCCCTCATTCACACGGATATTTATCTTGGATTATCCTCACACCTAGGTGTCGATGTTTGCGTATTTATGACTCACACATCTGAGGTATAAATACACACGCGCAAACCCCACACACGACACGACACCAACGAGGCTGAGCTCTGAAGTAAACGGCTCTCCGGTCTTTTTCTTCATCGTGGGTATTACGGAAGCGTAATCGGGCCGGGGTTAATTCTGTGGCCCCGGCTTGGTTCAAGACCACATGCTGGGGCCCACAACAAGCAGATATAGTCTATAAATGCTGGTTTATGATACATTATTTGCTTGTTATGTATGCATAGTTAGATGCATTTAAAAATTACGAGATCCACAGTGTCACAAGTCTTGGGATAACACGATCCAGTTGCCATACGTGGAAAGAACCCTGTCGCAGTCACCATCTTTGTGTACTTCAAAATGAATGTCAATACTTGTGGTGTTGAAAAGCAATTGTATAATCGAAAGTTCTTAGCGAACATCCCACAAGTGACGCTCGAGATGCATTAGACAGGATTGGCGAATCAGAAAAAAAGGGGTGTTAGTCGTAGAATGGAAAGGGTTACACTAGCCAGATCGGACAAATCTTGTTGTATCTCCAGACAATCACAGAAGAGCATGCAGTCGATATGACACTTCAGGTTCTTTCAACTGAAAACACTGATTCTGCAGTTTTGCAAAATCGATTATCAAACGACATCGATATTTACACCTATCCTCTTCTCACACCCGCTTAAAATCGACACACCGGGGCCTTTTGCATGGTAGAAATCGCCATAACACTTTAGTGACATCATTAAAAACCAATTTCCCATTTGCATTTCACGTTTCTGAAATCTCCGAAACATGTTGGGAGGCCGTGTGCACATGGTCAATTCTGGGCTGGTTTTATTGGCGCATTTCACGTGTCCGATTAGTCGAAAAAAGAAACAAATTGTAAAATTGCAAATGGAAAGAGACGGAGCCTATGGTAACAATCGCACGGCTGACCGTGGAAATCGGGTACAGTGTCATAAGAAGTGAAAACTGGCCCTTCAACCAAAATCCACCTTTGCGGAAGCTCGACTTGACCCTGGACTGATACCTATCGACGTCATTCTTATGCGATTTCATGCAGAGGTGCTGCTCGAATCCAATTGGAAGGGTGACTAGCAGTCCTGCGCTGGATTTCAGCCCAAATTGCTGACCTCCAGCTGATCCAATCGGTAAAAAGGACGCATTATCCTTTAAAAATGCGGAAAAAGTCTGCCCAAGCCGGTTCTTTGTTACAGCCTTAACAAGCGAGGACGTCTTTTAAAGACTCGGTGTGTTTATATTCACGTTGATGTTTTAAAACGCTGAGACAAGATGGCAGCCGGGTGATATGGCGCGCAAACTTTTTCCCGATTGATATCAAACGAATGGTGGGAGGAGGAGGAGGAGGATAAGGGGGCGGAAGAAGCGGAAGGGAAGAAAAAGTTGACAGCATCAAGCCTTCCCTTTACGAGAGCATGGCACTTTTTCCACTACTAACAATCTGACTCACTTCGTCATGACAATTTTAATCAGATTAACTTTATTTGCTGGCACAAAACGAGTCGCAGTGGTTTGGCGGGCACCGCGATTTCAACAACGACGACAACAACAACAACTCAGCCTGCGTTTCGAGTCACTACCAGACGGGTGTTTTCGAATTTGACTCGATTCGAAAATTAGGTAGTTACATTCACACGGAGAGACATTCAGAGAGGCTCTCCTAAAGAATCGTCGAATTTTACTGTGTAAATCGACACGTACAGGAATAATACTACTAAAATTCACAATGTCAGCACAAAATTGTTAAATAGAAGGGATTTCGGAAGTGAATTCAGCGCGTTTTTAGTGAAAATCACTTAGAGTACTTTCACACTGATGCTGGGGCAGATACGACCTGAGCACTATTGCCCGATAAACGTGTTTTTTGACAGAATATCCGGCACAATTCGTGTTTCTGAATTATAAGTTGCAGATGGTTTCGGTGGAAGCCGCAGTTAAGCAATTAACAGATCACTGAAACGACTGTTTCGAGGAAATTGTTGGCTGATTTTAATCACCGATGCAATTCAGAACTTGGTTCGTGATTGAGGTGAAGTGTGGGTGTGCGTGGCTCAAGGAGGTAGCCAATGGCAGGAAGCGGAGAGCAAAGGCGTAATTGGTGGAGATGGCGAGGAAGGTGGAGGTGGATGAACAGAGGTTGAATGCATGACGTGCTGTCACGATGACCACCCTCAAGGCACGTCGTGTTGTCTAGGCGGCACAGCGGGAGGCCCATTAGCGCAGGTGAACCGACTGGCCTCGACTAACTACCTCGATCGCCCAATCTTGGTCAGCGTTGATTGGTCGAAGTGAGGTGTGACTGATTGGTTGTATCAGAGGTGGTGCAACCGCTTGACATATCTCTCTGTGCTTGTGTGTGTGTGTGTGTGTGTGTGTGTGTGTGTGTGGGATGTCGGTGTTGACGTTGTTGTGGTGGAAGTATTGCCATCCAGACAACACCCGAATGCTGTTGTCGGAGTCCAAGTCTACTCTGCCGTACACCAGTCTCCAGTGACACTTGAATTGGCGTGAATCCCGCATGTGAACTGCGGGACAGAATGTTTCAGAGGCGATCACATAACCTGACTGAAACACCTCCCATTTCATCAGTTCGTGTGCGCCATTGTAGTAGAACAGTCACTGTGGTGGATTCTGAAGGCTAAGTGTAATCGGGCAATTCAACATCACGAGGCTTCAGTAGAGAGCTTGGTTTTTTTAATCCACAAAAGTGCGCACCTTTTGAAATGTCACGGCGTCGACATTTTGAATTGTTCAATGCGATGTTGGATAGGTGGCGATGGACTGTGTTGACACCACTAAATTTCCGACGGTCTTATTGGCTCGTTTGGGTGGTAGGCTGAATCCTTACTTGAATTTAAAAAGGAGATCTCAGTGAGGCTGTGGATAATGCAAGTGGATGCAACCGCGTTCGAAAATCTTCTATCTTTAGAGTACAGGTGCGCTTGATGGCTAGCAGAAATAATGATTTGTTACTGATTGTACTGGAATGGTATTTTAATACAGGTCTGTGAGATCCAGAGAATTTGAAGATTTGTACCCTGATCACTAGTCACCATTCTAATGAATTCGGTGGTGTTTAGGCATTGGTCGACAATCAGAAAGCCACCTATAGGGAGACCAGATTTCTCGGCACCACTCGTAGACCCGCATTTTTCAATGCAAATTGTGAGCTTTTGACGAAACTTCCCTTAGAACGTGCGCATTCAAGCATCATGAGAGTCGCATGATGATGATGTGTAGTGGTTGCCACGTCCGTGTCCGACTTGGCATTTTTGTAAAACCACTTTTTCAACTCGTGGGAGCAATTTGACTTGCCTTTCGCATGCGATGAAAAACTGCCCTCAAATGGAAGTATCACACCACGGCGCAGATTTTGATGTCTTCAGAAATGACAGAGGAAGTTAACGGATCAATTTGTCGAAATTAAATCAACTGCCCCTTTTTCGAAGGTAGTCATTCCAATTTGACGTCATATGCAGGAAAGGGAACACTTCTGACTACTGAAATTCAGTTCAAGTTTGAATCTAGCTGGAGTTCAGGATGTTTTTGATAAAGTTATGTGATTCCACGGTTTCGTGAGATGCTATTGACATTTCGCCGTTGACTTGCACACCTTAGAGCCAGTTTCAACGTCCATGGATCTCTTCTAGCTCAAGATGGAAGCGACATCCCCTTCGAAACCGGTGGTTAGTCTTCGAGGAACCACAACTGTAGTTTGGAAAGTTCCAGAACGAAGTCCTCAAGGAGATATGAGACCGGAGCGACTTAATCGGTTATTAGATATGTCAACCAAATTGTCGTGGATAAACCAGTTGCACGACAAGTGGGTGATGGGTGATAGTTCCGTCGCCAACTTCTAATGGATGTCCAATCGGACACGCCCAGATGATCAGTGGTTTCTATTGGTCGAACACCTAGGGAAATCGATGCTTCACTTGTCTAGTCGTTGGCTCATAATGACAGTGAGGGGAGTAGTCTGTTTGAAATATAGGAACAAAGAAGCCAGACTTCTCACTTTATCAGTTAGCATAGTGCGTTTCAGCCGATTTACCATCGGCTGGAAATTTGTCCGCATATCAAAGACTAGAAGACAATGAGGCCGGCGGCCCGTTTAAAAGATCGTGGCCTTCGAAACTGTTACCGAAATCTCAAGGTCAAAAAGAACTTGGCTTAAACAAGACACTGCGGCCCTTTGGGGTGTTTACACGATCAGCTGATGATCGAGATGAACCACCTGACTGTCTTTGAACTTTACTAAAACAAGAGCAGACACATCGCGAAGGCCAGATGGCTTTTCCTGAAACGTGGAAAGTGATTAAGGAGCCTGGAAACAGGCAATTAAGCTTAAAAATGGCATTTTTTAACTGTGGTTGACAGGAAGTTGTTGAATCCAAGCAAACCAGGCGTATTTTTGAGTAAAAGTGGATTCAACTGCGACAGACTAGCACAACACGAATAAGCGCAGATGCAAACGGTTGAAAGACAACTTACAACCTAGTCTAGCAGGTGTTTTTAATTCAGGAATCAACTGCAGCGCTGGTATGAGGGCTTGTTTACGAGGCCAAGGTATTACGATCAAAAAATCTGTAATACCTTGAAGTAAATGGTTACTGAATCCTTCTAAGTAGTGTCATTTTTTGACAAGATAGATCATCCATGCGTCAAATTTTGAGGTACCCAAATCAGTGTTTTAATGGACTTTGTCGTTTGCAAATCGAACAGGGTAGGGTGGGTGACCATCCAAGGCAAAATTTAACCAATCAAAGAACAGGAATACAAATCTCAATTACAGCAACTCCGAGCCGAATTTCGCAAATGTAAATTATCAAACGATTCGCAACCGGATTTACCCATATAACAAGCCTTTAGCCGATGTGAACACGATCGCTTATTGGATGACGCACCAACGTGGCGTCATTTGTCGTGATAGTTGTTTTCTAGGCCAGTTCTTGCACAACAAGTAGTCCAAAAAGAATCACACAGGAATGTGAGGTAATGCCACCTTTTTCAAGGCAAGCCCTCAGAAGAATATTTTAGTGACCGCCCAGCGGGAAATGGATTCCCCAAACCTACTTATTTCCATATAAGTAGAGCATGCCTACAAATTAACAGAAGTGCAAGGTTTAACACATTCCGCATTGCAGCAGTTGACACCACTAAAACAGGAGCAAGGAAATACCAAAACCCATCAAAGGTTAAGCCCCACAAATAGAGGAGTAATTCATGAAACACTTTCGAATAACTACTTATTAGCTGTTAAGTAGTTGTATTTGCATGAAAATTGCCTTTACACCTCAAGTCAGGCAAGTGATCAAAATCGACATAATTAAGCTTTCAAAAAATACACCTCCAGGTCGACAGTGCAACTGGGTGTCCAAAATTGCATATGTACACAGCGCCATTAAGCAGATGACTTCCTGGAAGCCGGTCCGTCGACGGCTTCCATGACAGCCGACCGCGTCAGTTCGAGGGCCTCTTCGGCGCGCACCTTCCGCAGGTGGTTGGCGTCGGCGCGGGTCTGCTGAAGCTCCCAGTGACGCGCGAACGCGTACTTGTAGTAGGGCAGGAAGTAGGGCAGCTTCCAGAGGTCGCGGAACTTCACCTACGAGGCGCAAAACAACACAACTGAGTGCAATCGTGTGGCGGTCGCAGCTGTGTGTGACTGGTGCAATTGGGCAGGCCCACTCACCAACGAACGCAACGACGTGATTGGTGCGAGATTTCACCCCTCTTACCAGATCGAGAGTGGTAGCGGCGTGGTGTGGTCATCAGGGAACGACACTGATCTTCGGCAAGATCAAGTCAACACTCGAATGTTACGCATTCCCGCGTTTGGGGGTGATTGGTGTGCGGACGTGGTGTGCCACTTTGATTGGTGCAATTAAAAACCACAGTCTGTGGGCGGCTTCACCAGGCAGCACGACAATCTGATAATTGCTAATCAATAACCATTTAATCACGCTGACAGGGGTGGTCATGGAAGGACGCTAATCTTTGAAACGACCGAGTCGGTATACACACGATTTTACCAATTCTCGTGTCTGTTATCACCTCTGACGACCTCTACTCATAGTGCTTGAAGGAGTCGGCGGCGCTGCATATGCGTCGAGTGCAGTGGGCAGAATTGCGCGTGAGTTTCCCGCCTTCAGAGCATAGGCGACTGGACGAGATTGGGCTAAAATCGGTGTTCACACCTCTTCCTTCAAAAACAGACGTGAATTGAGGTGTCGGCGTGCGAGTGTGTGGAAGACAGGGAAGTGAGCTCGCTTTGGTGGGAAGTGCGTTCGTGGTAAAAGCGTCCCACAGCAGACAAAGTGGGGGGGCAGGGGAGTGTTTGCAGGACAGGTTTAGAAGTGAGCTACTCAAGACCGTATGGTGGTAACCAGAACAACAGTGGCAATTGTTTGAACATGTTGGGAGTCAATGAACTTGCCTCAATTCTCACTCTCCGCTTTTTTCCCGTAGATCTAACTGGTAGGTTAGCTTAGCTGTGACTTTGGGCTGATTTGTGCGTTCGAGTTCGCATGCTCTTTTGGTTCGTTTATGAGGGGCTTACGTGCCTTCTTTGTCACACCCTCTTCTCATTGCCTTTTTTCGATTTTACTCCGATGTGTCGCAGTGACCACGCGAGTTTGCAGGTCACCGCGATGCAAATCGCGCTTTTACCCCGTTTTCCACCAATCAAAATCAACCTGAAACGCACCAATCCGCAGATGCGCCAATCGGATCTCGGCAATGCATTCGACAATATTAGTTATACCGGTCGTGGCATCATGTGTATCAGCGCAATGTCGGGATGAGGTCGCACAGCGTCTTCGACAGTGGTTGGTGTTGTTGGTGGTGGTGAAATTCCAAGACAAGACGTCACAGTCTTCCTCCACGAGCCGATTCGTCGCCTTCCACGGGGTTTCGTGTCCGGACGGTGTGTGCGTGTGTCATTTCTGTTGGACACTAGGATGATGAGCTCAAAAGTATCGAATCAGGACCGCCTACCAATGTTTTTATTTCCCTATTCGGAGTGGTCCACGCCAACTTCGTGTACTCTCGTCACGCACAGCTCGCCTGATTCCTGGGAACATGTCACATGTCACACTCACACACACATATCGTGTGCATCGTCCGACCAATGCTGAAACTATTGGTAAAACAGCGTGGTAGGCGAAGACGCTGACGAAAGCTAGGTGTCAAAGAAAGAATTCCATTCAAAAGTCTGGTTCCGGTCCCTAACTCTTCTATTGGTTGAATTCACCATCCTTACTTCGATTGGTTGGCCGCGTTGATTCACTGCCTCCCTCACTGGTCAATGACAAGCTATTTTGTTTTTGATAATTGGCAAATTCAACCCCGGCTAACTCCTCGCTCCTCGAGTTTTCGTTCCGCACTGCTAATTTTTTTGAAACTGCCGTGCCCAGTGATCCCGCATAAATGCACCTGTGCGTGTGTGCATGTGTTTCTCCATTGTTAACCAGCTTCCTCGTCTCCTTCCTCGTCGACGCTCGCGGCGGTCTGCTCGAGTCGAAACGCTACCCGGGTCTTCGATTCATCATCCCGCCCAACGCCTCAATCGGGCCGCTGCGCGTCATCTGCCGCTTCCTTCGCTACCCCTCCTACTCCACGCAGCCGCCTCTCAACGACGGCGAGGGTCTTGCATGTCGGTGAGTTGTCGCTGCGGCTTGGCGGTTGCTGTGTAGGCTAAGTTAACCCATCGTCCAAAGCATTGCTTTTGGTCTGTTGACATTCCATCCGC